GGGACCACCAACCGGGTGCCTCTTCCTATTTTTCAAGCGTTGAAAGGAGCTGCTGTTGAGGTTTCAAAACATCTAGCGCCCTCTCTCCAGAAGCAGAGATCCATCCTCCTTGTTCCTGAGGTTCAAAACATTTTTCTTGCAAGACATCTGTTCCCAGGGACTATGGAGAGACCGGTTTTGTCACAGGCTTGGAAGTCTGGGGAACTGCAGAGATGAGTGGGTGGACCGTGCTGGGCCTGGGAGCTGGATTCTTGAAAAAAGGTGTGAAATTAATCAAGCCAAGATTTGGGTGAGCTGAATCCTGCTGCAGTTAGTTGTAGGCTGCTCAGGACCTGAAAACTGAGGAAACACCTCCAGACTTTAGACCGGGAAGCTACGGTTTCTAATACCAGCTGGTGCCTTCCTGGCTGTGCGACCTTGAGCAACTTACATAATGTCTTTGAGCCTCAGTTTCTTTATCTGGAACATGGGTATAATAACATTAAGCACCTCAGAGAGAATTCTGCTGTGAGAATGAAATGAGATCACAGGTGTCAAGCTCTGGGCACGTAACAGGCACTCAATACAGATTAGTTTATCTCTGCGTCCCTATTGGCCCAGCTGGAGTACCCAGGCAATTGTGGGTGTGTGTGGCCCGGGCTATACTGGTCTACACACGGAGACCTCAGAAAAGTCACTTAGCTAGTTCCCCATCAGAGTGCTCCTGCCTCAGCAGAGAGGCTGTTTCTCCCACATTAACCCTTCCTGCTGCCACTGCAGAGTTTTGGCAGGAAGACGCTGAGCTTAGCGTTCAAGATAGACCCAGAGGCCTCGGTGCACCGAGGGCCATAATACAACAACCGCCTATCCACGAAGACGGTCAGAGGCTGTTAGTCTGCATCGCTGTTTTTGCAGAACATAAGGTGACTTGCCAGTGGTTACCCGGCTAGTTAGTCCCAGAGCCAGGATGAGAATCCGGGTCCCCTGACTCCTGAGCCCTGGCCAAGATGCGTGACACCAGCAGGAGGCCGTAAGATTCGGGATACTCCCAGAGGGCAAATCCATTTCTTTTTATAACCGAGACAGTCCATCAAGTGTATCAGGATGGTGGTGGTTGATACAAAGGGCGAATTTTACTGCATGTAAATTTTTAAAGGGGGGGGGGAGAACTCCCATGTAGATTATCTTATTTACCAAGTGGCATTTAGAACTTTGTTTTCTCCTTGTTACAGAAAATATTTGGGCTTCTTGGGCTTCTTCATCATAGAACTGGCATCTTTTCTTTTTAACAGCAGCTTCGCTTTCCACTCTCTGCTGCTCTTTCCCATCCTCTCCGTCATCTCGGAGGCTGTGAGATGGGCAAGCAGCTAGCACCACCCCTTTCTACAAGAGGCGTGAAAGTCACGTGGACCAACTCGAATCCCAGCTCTGCCACCTGTGTGAGCTCGGGCATGTTGCTTAACCTCTCTGAACCTCACTTTCCTCAACTTTAAATGAGTGTGGCCACAGTACTTCCTCACTAGGCTGCTGGGGCATTGGGTTTAATGCGGCATTTTCCAAACTTCCCTCAGGGTAAGAATCCTCTGGGTGTGGTTAAAACACACACACTCCCAGGCCCGATCCAGAGCTACTGAGCCAGCATTCGCAGGGGAAGGCCTGCAGTCTGACACCCCCCGAGATCCTTACCAGGGAAATTTGGGAAACGCTAGGCTGATTTTTAAAAAGCATTTATTGTTGTGTCTGGCACTGTGCAGCTAATGCTTATTGAGCACTTATGTGGGTTTGATTTTTGGAATGAAGATAATAATGATTACTGGAAAGGGTTAGAATGAAAACCAAGAAAATTAGTGTATGGTGCCCAGGAAACAGTAAGTCGAATGTGTGTGTTGGCGTCCTCATGTCATTGTCAGTCTGGATGCGTTCAGGATGAAATGGAATCATCCAGAGGTGAGCTGGCTCTGCCTCCCTCCATCCTGGCTTCATTCTCAGGCAGGTGCTGTCCAGGGGGTGTGCCCCCACAGCCCCAGGCCTCCATCCTCCCAGCCCGGCACCCTCAACAGGAAGTTCTCATTTTACAAGTTCCAGGGACCAAGCCTCATTGGACCAGCTTGGGTTCCAGGTCCTTCCTTGTGCCAGGCAGTTCCCAACACTGTGGTCAGGCGTAAGCTGACTGGCCAGGTCTAGGTCACTTGCTTACACTGGGAACCAGGATAGGGGCAGCCCCTTTGAACTTCAGGAATAAAGTTCAAGCATGTGGTTGCTAGACCAAGAGAAACCGATGCCTGGCAGGTGGCCTCACAGATGTGCCCGGGACGGCTCCCTTGTGCAGTCAGCTGGTAGCCGCCCGGTGCCCCATCAGGCCCGGGTCCGTTCTGTCTCTCCTCTGCTGGCACATTCATGGCCAGCCTCAGACCTGTCCTCGTCTGTCCAACCTCTCCAGCCCTCTCCTTGGCCCGCTCACCCCTGCGCCCAGCCTGCTACAGGGGCTGGTCCAGGGACTTCTAGCTGCTGTTGTCCAAAGCTGCTTATTAGCGACCCGCTGTGGGAATGCTTCCAACCACGAACAATGAGTTTCTGAACCAGGATAAAAACAGCCTTTGCAAGTCAGCAAATGAGACAAACTGAATTGCTCAACCACCCCCTTCCCTCATCGGCCTGGCACTTTTAACACAGTGGATAAGAACAAGGTCTCTGGTGTCAGAAAGACGCAGGTTTGAGGCCTACCACTTCCTAGCTGGGCTGGTTGTCTTACTTCTCTGAGCCTCAGTTTCCACTGTGGAGTCCATGAGGATTAAAGGAGGCAGCGGATACAAAGCATATGACCCAGAGCAGCTCATACGCAGGCATCCCCACGACTGTCCCTTCTCCAGGTACTGGTCTGCACCAGGAAACACACAGCCCTTTCAGGGGTGACCAGTGTCGGCCAGTACCAGGGAGCCAATTTGAAGAAGCTCTGATACATTCCAAAGCCACACAGGAAACACGGATGGGCCACGGCACTCCCCAGACTGTGCACTCGAGGCAGGGCCACGTTCCTCCCGGGGACATACTGCCCCGGCATCTTCTGCTTCTTACCACAGCTGGCCACCCCAACCACGCAGGACAGCAGCAAGACATACGGTGCAGAAGCCAGGACAGGGAGTCCCGGGTTTCAGGCTTGCTTGGCTGTCACTCCCTTGCAGTGTGACCTTGGGCACATGACTTGCCCTCCCCGGGCTTTGGTTTCCTCTTTGTTAAGTAAGAGTTGCACTGGGTAATTTTGAAGGGTTCGTCCCTCTCAAGGGCCTGTCCTATGGCATTTGCTGGCACAGCGAGCAGTGAAAGCTCCCCCACCAGAGCTGTGATGGTCAAGGGCGAGGAGCTACGTGTAAGGTGGCCTCGGATCAGGGGAGCAGGAGCAGGAGGCACGTGGTGCAAGCGCAGGAGGGCTGGCTCCGGAGTCAGACACACCTGGTCAATTCCTGACAGTGATCTTTTCTCTGGCTGTAAGACCTTGGGCAAGTTACCCTCTAAGCCACTTGACTAACAAGGGTAATGCCACCTACATAAGGTGGCTGTGATGATTCATAAGGTTCAGGAGATGCTGCATTTGAAGCACAAGGCCTGGCGCACAGCCAGCGCTCAGTAAAGGTCAGCTCTTCCTGTCTCCCGCTCTTTTGACGGAGCTGCCTTCCTGCACACCATCTGCACGTTCAATGGCATGGAAAAAGCCCTAGACAGGCCTGGGTTTCATGCTAGTTCCACCTCTTCCAAGTTACTCAACCTGTTTTCCTCATCTGCAAGATGGGCATGTGATCTTTCTTAAGGGTGGACGTGGTGAATGTTTGGCATGACTGATACAGAAAGGGTCCTCTTCCCAGGCTCATCAGCACTGACTCATTCATCATCTCTTTTATATTTTATAGGACTTATTTCCATATCTGTGCGAGTAAACTGATTCTTAAAGCCCCCATGGAGGGAAGTTAGGGCCAGGAAACCTGAGGCCAGACCAGGGATCTGTCAACTTCACCCCCGTCCCATGTTCTATCAGTAGCCGAGAGGCACAGCGCGTGCCTGCCTCCTTCCTTCTCACAGCACAGCAAGTAGCCGGGAGGTCACCTGCCTGTCCTACACCTGGAGCCAGAGGCAGCTTGCTCCAAAGAGCAGTAGATGCCAGGGAACTGCTGAAGACAGTGGGGTGGGTCGCAGGCTCCCTGGGGGCACTTCACACTGCTGGAGTTAGTAACGGTAAGACACTGTAAGGAATCTGGACTTGCTGTGGCGTTCAGGGCCCTAAGGCTAAGAATGAATATATGTGTACATGCATAAACAACCACAGGAAATTGGCTTAACCCTTTTGGCACACATAATGGAAACTCGTAGATGAGCCTTATATTATTAATAAATAACTTTTGGCCCAATGACTCTACTTCTAAGATCTTTTAAGAGTTTGTACTAAGAAATCCACACAAAGTATGAATAACTACTCATATAACAACATCCACTGTAGTGGTAAATCCATTTGGTTAGAATTAAATCAGAATATAGTTAATGGACTACTATTAATAGATAGCCATTTAACATACATGTTTTCAAAAACTACTTAGAGGTAGAGAGAAATGATTATAATAATGTTAAGTAAAAAAGTAACAAAATAAAACACCATATGTAAACCTCTGGGTTTGTGAAATAACGTTTTATACATTCCTGAGTTTTCAAGCATACATTCTTTTCACAATATGAAAAACAAAACAATGAAAGATGTTTTAAACAAGGTTCCAAGTTTGGTCCCACCTTTTGGTGATTGTTTGGGTGTTTGTTTAATAACTCTTTTCATATCTTTATATCTTTCTTTTTTAATCAAGACACACTACTGAATCTTGCTTTGAGACCAAAAGTATCCAAACTTAGTATCACATTATATATCCTATAAGAAAAGCTACTTTTTCAGGTAACAAAAATGAAGCCTCCCCCCTTCACCAGTTTATCTAAAATGCATTTTAGACCAGGAGCCTGCTGGACTCAAAGAAGCCATCCCCAAAAAAATTGTATAAAAAGATTTATTGAAATTTATCAATGACAAACAGACATAAAACTCAAAGTTTGGCTCTTCTGAGGGGCAGGAGAAAAACTGGTGCCGATGTTCTTTTATACAGATGGAACATGGGTGAGGAACAACACATCACTTCTAAAGCAGTCCAGAAGAGGGACATGAAAGCAAACCTGTACATTCACTAGGAATTTGCAGTCATTTCAGATTTCCACTAGGTAAGAAAATACAATTTGCGTTAGTTTTTCCGTGCTCGGGTATATGAAAAAAAAAACCCAGCCGACATGCAGCAACGTCTCCAGCGCTTAGGTTTATAAAAATGTTCTAAGCACAGAAGTACATGTGGAAGAATTCTCTCGTCATTTTTGTAAAACAAAGCGTTCTAATATTTTACAGAACAAGATAGGACATTTTTTTCTTTCTTTTAAAGAGGTTTAAGTTTGAGGGCTTATTTCTTCTAATTATAATTACCAAATCCATTCTACTTGTAACTCATAAGCCTGCCGTTTCCAGCTCTCTGGCTCACAAGCTCTCAAGAGTAACATCAGAGTCCTCTTTGTAGAGTGAAGCCCACCACCATCTGTGAAGGGGGAAAAGGGATGAGAGACGGGGAATGTCCCCAAACAGTGCCAAAATACGCCTCTAGGTTGCTATTTACAAACCTGGGCGTTGGATGCCTCTAGCAGGCCCAAGAAAAGCAGAAATCACATGAACCAGAGCAAGAGTTAAAGATACGGCTGGTACTCAGTCCCTCCTGGGCTTTGAGTGACCAAACTGAGGCCAGCCATGGCTTTCCAACCAACTCAAGAGACCTGGGAAATACCTGGAACTGTAGAACTCCAAGCCATCCTCTTTGAGAGTAAGGAACAAATGCTCACTTGGCGTGTACTCAGCTATCGCATTTACAGGGACAAAAACCAGACACAAAGAAAAAGTAGGGGGAAAAATAAAGAGTGGCAGTAAAAATAGTATTTTATTCCACCCCCTCCCGCCCTCCCTCCCCCCCGCAACCCCCAGTACACGTTTCCCCTCTCGTTCCCACAGCAATGTTACAATCAGAAAAAAATAAGTTTCGGGGGGCAGGATTTGGAGGGCGGGGAGGGGATATGGGTAAAAACAGTCAAATCACAATAGGGATTTTTCAAAATAGGTTATTCCACTTAGTCATCATCTTCTCCCTCATCTTCAGGCTCTCGTTTTCGCTTCTGACCCCTTTCTTCTTCTGGAAGAGCAAGGAAAGGGCATTTAGATTACATATTGATCCCACCTCTAACTGCACCCACCCACCAAGAAACCAGGGGCCACACATCTGGGAAGCTTTGCCATCCTTGGAAACTGAGGCAGGGTCTCTGCAAAGCCAGGGAGGCACCAGAGCCTGGATTGGAGAGTTTTGCCCACTGCCAGGGTCCCCAGAGTCTAAGCAAGCTAACGGCAAACTGGGGCCAAGCTGAGTGCAAAAAGGCTGCCATACCACCAAGATCTTCTTCGTCTTCCTCATCATCTACTTCCCCGTCATTATAACCTTCTTCATCCTCCTAGGGGAACAAAGGAGACACCAGGACATTAGAAACGCCCCTGGGTTCAGGATGTGCTGAGGAAGCTTTCTTCCTTGACACTGGGCACAGAAAGGTGGGGGTCACCCCCCACCTCTCAGAGCCCCAGAGGCTACCCTCTCAGGATGAATGGACGGCAGAGGTTCTTAATCTATTTTGGATCAAGGACTGATTTGAGAATCTGCAGAAAGCTTTGAACTCCTTCCCCAGAAAGTACCCTTATCACATACAATATTCACAAACAATCTCAGGGCTGTGGACTCTACTCCAGGTTAAGAACCCCTGATCTGAAGTCCCTGCAAGACAGGCAACTTTCCATCTGTTCTCTGAGGAGCACGAGCTCCCCAGGCAGACTCCCCGCCGTGTAAAGTAGGCCATCCTTTCTCGCGTCTGTCCTCAATCTCGTTTTGGCTTCAAGGGAAGACCCCAGTTTCAGCAAAGCCGGATTCTGCGGGCAAGTCCAACCTCACCCTGCCCAGCCCCTTCACCGTGTCTGGTGAACCTGGGTCACCCGGGCGGGGGAGGGGAAGACAAATCCAAGGCCCCCTGAGGATGCCACGCCCAACTTGCTCGAGGTCCAGCAAGGAGTGCGACTTCCTTCTCGCACCAGGCCCTTGGTCTATGCTGCTCCTGAAGGCACAGCCCAGTTGCAGCCCTGTGTGCTGAACCCCGTTCCTAGGGCATCCAGCAGCCCACTGCTTAAAAGAATTTGGTGACAGACTTCTTTTTGCCAAGGGAAATAATCTTTTATAACGTCACCATGTAGTTCCCTCATCAGTCCATTCACCAGGACTGTTTTTGGTGTGTGTAAGCTCTCTTTCACTGGAAGCTGGAAACATGTAGATGGTCAATGAGATTACAAAAAACCAAAAAACAAAAACTTTAAACCTGTGTACAATGGTTCCTATGACAGGAAGGGCAAGATGAAAATCTATTAGCCAACATGACTACTGTCCCTGCCCTAGGGGGACTTGTTTTGGGGGTTCTTGTTTCTCTAAGTCTTTATATTTTAAAATACTTAAAAATATTCTTTAGGAGTGAGCCTAGTAGCCCAGATCCGGGGAGAAGAGAAACTCAGCACAGAAGCAGAGAGAAACCCAGCTTCAGTCTCCAGCTGTTCTACCTGCCCCAGCCTGCTCCTCCCAAGCCTGGGCCGGGCCCTGCCTGAGCAGTCTGCGTGGCAGGCGGATGTCTGCAATCTCCATCGAGGGAGACAGGAAACTGGGGGGCACAGTAACACAGGCACCTCATCTGTGCTATTGTCACTTATTTAAACCTTTCTGGGTCTAACTTTCGCAATCAGCAAGAGTTGATTTAGAATTCTGAACAAGTCATGGAAAATGACTCTGTTACAGAGACACTCAGAACATCCAAACACAAAACCCAGCACGTAGTGCCAGGAATTCGGAGGAGGGTGTAAACGCCTACAGTAAGTGGTCAGAAACTTACCCCTTGTCACATACTGTCCTTAAGATAAAATAAAATGTAAGTAAAATGCTTAACAACCCAGTGATAAAGGTACCATGATCCCTATTTCATAGATGAGGAAAGAGGCTCAGAAATGTCGAGCACGTTGTCCAGAGACACAGCTAGCAAGTAGCAGAGCTGGGATTCACCCCCTCAGACACTTCACGGACTTTGTCACAAAAACTGTGACGCAGCCAGTCTGTTGGGAAAACAGCCAACACTGACGCAACTGCTTCGCAGCGCGCAGGCGGCCCCTCTGCTGCGCTCGTTTGGGACCGGCAGTCTTATTCCACTACCTGTCAGTTCAAGGCAGTCTTTGATTTCTTCCTAGCACAATGAATATCTTGATTAACATATGAATGCAGAAGGCAGAAAATGGGGACATGGATTCTGTACTTCGTCACATAGTCCCTGCCTCCAGAACCCTCCTGCCCATTCCTAACCCAGCCTCCCCAGAGCTCACTGCAGGTCTGGCCTTTCCCAACCCAGCCCAGGGAGAGGCTCTGAAATGGACTCACTTCCCTGTCTGTGGGGGAGTGACTTCCCAACCACCTCCCTGGGCTGCCGGGCAACGGGGGGGGGGGGGGGGAAAATACAAAACTAGACAGCGGGGGGGGCCCCCCGGGGGGGGCCGGGGGGGGGGGCCCCCCCGGGGGGGGGGGGGGGGGGGGGGGGGGGGGGGGGGGGGGGGGGGGGGGGGGGCATTTAGCGGGACTGCCTCAGAGGCAGCAGGGGAGGGGAAGCTCAGGGAGATGGTGCCCCCACCCAGCCCAGACTCCTCACCTCTTCCTCTCCGCTCACATCCTCCTCTTCACCTTCCTCCTCCTCATCCTCATCTTCCTCGTCTTCCACTACCTGAGCATCTTCATCATACTCTTCCTCTGTGCAGTAGAATTAGGGAACAAAACAGAGCTGGTGGTGAGCTGGCTCCCCCGTCACACAGCACAGGCCCCGGGCTGATGGGCCTGGAGGGTCTTCCGTGTGGGGCCCATGACCCCACCACGCCCACTGAAGCCCAGAGACTGACTGCTTCAATGCTCATAAACAGCAAGTGCTGAAACGATCCTAACGTGATTCAAAAGACAGGTCCTCCGCACAAGTTTCTGAAGTGAAAAATGCCTTCCTTGTAGAGACTGAGACCACTGAGAAACTGCCAGATCAGAGGAAAAAGTTTCAGGGCCCAGGAAAGCTGCAAAGTCGATTCATTTAGAAAAAGCACTTAGGCCAAACTCCTCATTTTATTTTATCAGAGTCAAGGTCTCACTCTGCCACCCACGCTGGAGTGCAGTGGTACAGTCATAGCTCACTGCAGCCTCCAATTCCTGGGCTCAAATGATTCTCCCCACTCAGCCTCTCAAGTAGCTAGGATTACAGGCACATACCACCACACTCAGCTAATATTTTTTTAAGTGATGGGGTGCGGGGGAAGTCTCACTATGTTGCCCAGGCTGGTCTAGAACTCCTGGGGTCTCAAGTAATCCTCCTGCATCAGCCTCCCAAAGTGCTGGGATTACAGGTGTGAGCCACCACACCTGGCTCAAACTCCTCACTTGCAAGGTGAGAAACCTGAGGCACAGAGAAAACTGCCTTGTTGAAGGTCACATATCAGTGGCAGAGCTGGGCCTAGGATCCTGGTCTCAGGAATACTAGTTTGGGGTCCATTCTGCTACATCACAAGATCCCTGCCAAGGCAAACAGGGTCTTGCAAAATACTCCCAATCTAACAAGGAAAAACAGAATCTTGTGTCTGAGTTAACCAGGCAAGTGTCTGAATTCTCAAGGTTACCCCGGGCATGAAGACCTGCAGGGAACCACCCTGTGCTGGCAGCAGGGAAGGCAGGGAGGCACCAGGAGGAGGCGCTCCCTCTTTTCCTTCTGCCCTTCCTGAAGGCCCTGACTGCTCCCTGCATCACCAAGGAGCCCAAAATGCTGTCCTCTGTCCCCTACTTCCCAGCCCTCGGGGCTCCTGAGCACCTGAGCCCACACCCCTAGGCGCAGGCCTGTGGTCCTGTGTGCTGCAGCCACCAGGGGGCCCCACAACCTCTCCGGCTCTGCCCTCCTCTCCACTCCTGGACACCCAGACGGGACAGGGGTCCTCAGGCCACACCCCACCTTCCTCTATCCTCTCATCCACTCCCTGGGGAGTATCTAAGCTGGTGTCACATTATAGAGAGACACTGCCCAACCTCATTCCCTGGGGGGCTTTGGAAAGGGATAGAAATTAAAGTGAAGATTCAGTGAGACAGTTTTAACAGTCACTATGCAGTTGCAGAGTCTCAGGATGCTTCTCTGGGGCTTGTGCCCTATTCTCTCAGGGACAGCAACCACTGAGACAGATTAGGGACTCCGGTAAACACAGCAGACAGCCCCCCCACCCAACGGCTCTGGGAAGAGGCAGCTGCTAGCCAGCCCTCAGCAGCAGGGTGGGGCCTCCTGCCACCAGCCCACTCCCCTGGCTAAGCCCCTCAGCCCCAACCCCAGCCCTCCTGCCGCCACCCACCATCTTCGTCCTCCTCCTCGTCGTCCAGGCCCTCCACGTAGCCCTCAGCATCTGAGTCAGGGGCCTCTTTGTCGTCCCTGTCGTAGCCGTCGAGATACGTGAGTTGCGGGAGGAGCTTGAACACGTTTTCTCGGTAGTCGTTCAGGTTGGTTACCTCACAATTGAAAAGGTCTAAGCTCTTGAGGTTTTCTAACTTTTTCTGCAAGTGGAAAAATGAAATCAACGGTGAGTGATGTGTGAGTGACGTGCGGGGTGGCAGGTGGGGGAAATGACCCCAGGAAACACACAGGGGACATGAGATGGTGTGGGCAGCCCAAGACTGGCAAGTGATAAGGACATTGGGTTTGTGGGCCTCAGTGTCTTCACCTGAAAATGGCGGGTAGCACCTGAGGATCTCTACAGCATTATCCAGTGTTGACGGGCTGTTACCCTGCAATTACCGCTTTCGCCTTAATAGCAATCGGCTTGAAATTGACCTGGGGCTCTCGGGGTGCGGAAGCCAAGAAGAGGTCACTGCCTGCCCCTGTGACTAAGGACCAACAAACTGACTCCTTCTACATCTGGTAACGGGGATGATGATGGCAGTTAACACAGCACTTCATGTATCCAGTCAGTTAACCCTCGCAACCCCGTGAGGCACTGGACCATTTTACAGATGAGGAAGCGGAGAGCACAGAGTCGACATTACCCAGGCAGCCCAGCCTCAGAGCCTGCTCTTACTCTGCAAAACAGTGCCTGTCCGAAAGGACAAGAGGAAAAGCGATAGATCCAGATCCTGTCACGGTACTTAACACCATGTGCCTTGTCCAAGCTGTACACCAGGGGGCTTCTACTCCGTGTCAGCCCTGCTTGCTGGCTGAGGAAACTGAGGCCCAGGAAGTGACGGTCACACTGCTTGTAGGTAACAGAGCTGCACCTCAACTTCCCAGCTCACCTACCTTCAAGGTGCCAGATACAAAAAATACTGTCCCAGGCTGAGTCTCTGTTGCGATGGGGGCCAGTCTAACCGGACAGTGCAGCCCCTGCCCCTCAGGGTCAGTGGCAAGAGCTGTGTCGCTCTCTCCAAAACCCTGAGATTAAGACCTAGGTCATTTTCCACAGGGGGGCCAGCACTCCCAAACAGCACCGCCAGGCGGTGACTGTAACAGTCACACTGGGAACCAGAGACGGGGAAGCTACTGAAACAAGTGTGATCTGGGCAGGGGGAACTGGGAGTATGTGTGTGCGTGTGCGTCTCTGTGCGTGACCTAACGGTGACTGAATCACAGTGTTTTTCAAGGATGTTTTACACTCTGTCCCTATACCTCACCCCTACATATACAGAACTACAGTTTTCCTTTCACAATGAAATTATGAAATCAAGGCTTTTGGGCAGATCAAAATAGTTCTGCTTTCTCCAAGGAGACCAGTGAAGACATGAAAAGAAGTTCTGTAGGAAGCATATTCCATTAGATGGCCCCATGTCACAGACGGCTTGTAAAGTCTGAGCTTGGAAAAGAAGTGCAGCTTCCCAGTCCGGCCCCCGGCCGGCCAACAAGCCAAGCCCTTGCGCATCTGTGGAGAGCAAGGAGTGCCTTTCTGGACAAGAACCCTGGGGACCCAAACCACACTGAAGGCAAAACGTCGCCCCCGGCCTTTCCCTGATTCTAGGATGCCTTCGTTTATGAGGCAATTCGCATGTGTGTATTTACAACAGGTTAATGTGATGGTATTTCTCTATTTCAAAAACCTGTTCTTTAATCAATGGCACATTTTATAGTTGATTTCCTTAAAACCAAAGGAATAGAGTAATTCAGATCCTGGTAATGTAGAAATTATTATTCTGACCATGATCTGCCCTTTTCTGGGTAGTAAATCAGTGAAGCTTGGGGTATGTTTAGCTCTCTGAGGATGAACAGAGGAGCCAGAAATGCTACCCAGGTCTCCGAGGCCCTGATCATTGTCACGCCAAGGACTGGTGGCCAGAGGCCACCTTCTCCACACCACGTTGAGAAAGGCCTGCCCGCACAAGGCTCTGGCACCACGCAGCTGCCATCCCAGGGCTCTGTCAGGACTGACCCATTGCCCACGGCTCACAGGCCAGCGACCCGAGGAAAAGCAAGAGTCCACCTCCAGGGTCAACTTAATTCCTGATGGCTCCTCCCTCCCAGAGAAGGGCAGTAGGCCATGCCCTGAGCCTGGAGACACTAAGCTCAGGTTTCCAAAGCTGAGTAGGAACCATGGGTGGAAAAGCACAAGACCAGGGTCCCACCCCCACCTTGACAGTGACTGCCCATTCTGGCTGTATGACCTTGGCCAAGCTATTTAACTTCTTTGGGCCTCAGTTTCTCTATGGCCTAAGTAAAAACAGCTCAATTCTCTCTCACAGCACATAATGAATGTCAAAGGAATTAGGTGGAGAAAGGACAGATGCGAAAGTAGTGCTCCCTGACACAAACGCCTCCCTACCGCCCACCCCCACGGGGAGGGGAGGATCCACATGACTTACCAGTGGCTCTATTGTGCTGAGGTCTTTAATTTTGTTGCCACTTAAATTTAGATGCGTGAGGTTCGGACACTTTTCTGCCAATACTTCCAGGCCCCCTGAGATTCTGTTATCGCTTAGTTCAAGCTAAATGAGGCAGGGAGAGAAAAAGCAGAAAAGGCTTTCAAAACAAAGATCCTCCCCGGCAGGCAGGGCAGGCAGAGTAGCCCCAGGGCACCGCCTGGCACGCCGCTGGGGCAGGTGCAAGCACCTGGCCGTCCATCACCTCCTACCGCGCAGTAACAGCCCTCCTCCTGCCCACCCGCCCGGCACACACAGGCTCACGCCCCGTTTACCTTCTTAAGTTTGTTTAACTTTGGTAAGTTTGCGACTGAGGTGAGGCCTACGTTGATTGTACTTAAGAATTCCAGTTCTTCAAATTCATCTGTGAGGCCTTCGATTTTGCCTTCATTTGACCGGCAGTTGTCCAGGACGAGTTCTTTCACCTGGGGAGGGAGGACCTTGTGAACGGAAGGGCGGAGGGGCTGAGGTGGGGAAGGGTGGCGGCGAGCTGTCCTGCCCCGGGAAGCAGTCCACGCTGTGCTAAAACCTCACTTCTCCGGCTCCCCCGGATCACTGTACTGCCAACAATCAAGGGATGGATTTGCCCATCCCGGATTTCTGCTTTTAGCCATACGGGGTGGGGAACAGAGCTGCAGAACCAGGGCCATTCCCGACAGGCAACTCGGCCGGAGACGGACCCGCAAGCTCTGCTGCCATTAGTGAGGTTGGCGGTCTCGTTCCAACACTATTCTCCCAAAACCCCATTGTAAAATAAAACGCCACAGTCCCCAGCGACAATGCTGTTAGGCACCTCTGCGCCTTGCCCCCACCCCAGTGCCCCAGCATGAACCCCCCCTGGAGGCCAGCTGCCCACTCCCTGTCCTCAGCCCCACCTTCCTCTCACCTCCACCTGCCTGTGCCCCTCTGCTTGCTGAGGGACCCCAAGACCCACACACCCCCCTGCTTTCGCCCACGCCTGCCATCGCAGCCAGAGCCTGCCCACTCGCCAGTGTGTCACTGCAGCAGGGCCTGGCGGGCCCAGTGGCAGGGGCAGTAGACGCCAGGCTCCTCCAACTCCCCATCTCTGGCCAGTGCTGCCCAACAGAACTTCCCACAAGGATGGAAACATTCTGTACCGGCCCGGAGAGGGGCCACTAGCCACACGTGGCCACGGAGCACCTGCATGTGGCTGGTGAGACTGAGGAACTAAGCTTTTAATTTTATTTATTTATAATTTAAATTAATTTAACTGTAAAGAGACACAGGTAGTTATCGTATCGGACAGCACAGCTCTAGGCTTTGCTCTTCAGGGCCCTGGGCGTACATGTGGAAGGAAAATGGAGACCCGCAAACCTAGGCTGGGTCCAGAATAAAACACTGAAGCTGGCAAAATCCCAAGCTCTGTCTCTGGAGGCACCGTCTTGTTTCCCACTCAAGCCCCTTATCCAAAATCAGGCTCCTAAATTTTTTATTTCTACTGAGGCAGAAAGAACTGGTAAAAAGCCACCCTCTCGTGAGGTCGTTAGAAGGCAGACTTGGCTGAGGCGATACCGCAGGCTACGGTGAAGGAGAGGGGAAGACAGGCCAACCAAAGCCTGAGTCTCAGGCAGGAAATGGCCTTGGGAGCCAGCAAGGGGGCGGGGTGCCTAGCCCTCCAGGCAGCTGTCCCCGAGCTACCTACCCTGCTCCAGAGTGCCCCCGCTGCTTGGGAAAACTGGCTTCCTGGGACTGGAAGACACCTTAAAGGTGCTCCCTCCTGGCCGCACCTGACTGAAAGGGTCCCTTTAGCCCAGCACACAGCGTCCCAGCCTGCCTGCCACCATGGCTGCCAGGAGACACACGCTGGTGCCCATGAACGTGCTGCCTCCCTCCCTGGGACTTCCACTCACGGGTCCTCCTTTCTCACTACTGGGCCACACAGTGTAAGCCAGACCTCCTCTACAGAGTCCGTGATGCCCAAAGAGTGACCCCTGCCCCTAGAGAGTGTTTTTCTCCTGGATAAACAGAGGGGCCTTCTAACCAGTTCCTGTGCAGGCTGTGCCCACTCTCCTGAGCAGGCCAGCTCGCCCAGCTTCTTATGTAGGGCCCAGATAACTGGCCTGCCACAGGTCCAGGTGCCCGTCCTACCCCAGCACCTCTGGGCCACGTGGAAACTGGGGGGAAAAGAAGATGGAAACAGGGTCCACACCAGGCCTGGTGAACCCCTCCTCAGTCTGCCTTTGCCACTGGGCAGAGCAGGGCAGCTCTGGGGCACATCTGGATCTCAGAGCCCTGCAGGGCCCCGCAGCTGCCAAGCCTGGACAGCGGCAATGTGTGGCTTCCATCTGGCAGAGCACACAGCAGGGGAAAGCAGGGAGCAGCGGCCCTTCCAGGAGCTAACGAGCTCCTAGCCCAGGCCCTGGCCACCAAGGCCCACTGTCCCGTGGGATCTGGGAAGGGGGAGTTCAGTCTTTCCCACCCCCTCAGTCCCCCAAGAGGCCAGATGTCCAGGTCAGGTCAAACCACCTTCTCAAGGTCGCTAACAAGAGTGCCTGGGAAAAAACCCTGTGGGGCCTTCTGCCCTAGGGCAGGGAGGCAGCGGCAGTGCAGAAACAGGAAGCCAGGCCTTAGGGACCAGCCCAAAAGAAGGGAGAGGAGCAGTACTGGGGGAGGAGAACCATCTCTTTCACTTGCAGTAAACACTGGAAACACAAGGCCTGTGGTCTTCTCTAGTCATTGATTTCCTTGGAAGGTCCTGGGAATTCTTGAAGCTCCACCAAGGAAAGACAAATACCAGAAGAGATTCCAATCTACCCTCAAAGACTGCAGAATGGTTTTTCTAGCTGGGTCAAGGGCTTCTCTTCTTCCTGCCATTAGCCAACGAGAGGAGGGCCCCAGTGGGCGGGGAGGTGGTGCTGGGAGTCAAGGGAATTCCTCCAGGAAGTCGGCCCCTTTCCTGGAGAGGCAGTGCTGCCTGCCACCCCTGGTGGCGCTGCCCGCTGCTGCCGGGGCAGGCCACCCAGGAATTCTGCAGGGAGACGCAGGTTTCGGAATGCTGACCAGGCCAGTCCCAGCACCTGCCACCACACCCAAACTGGTGGCCACTTCCCTCAGGGACATTATGCAAGCCACCACTTTTCATTTTATTAAAAATAACCATCAGGTCTTTCTTGGGCACCCACTAGGCACACTCTAAGGCCTTCACACACACTGTGCCACTGGATCCCCACAACCACCCATGGGACCTTCTCTCCACTTTATGACACACCAGAATCACGGATCCTAAAATACCAGGTCGCAGTCATCAGTCACAAGCGGGTGTCTCCTACACCGACGTGGCTGGTGTCGGCCACAAGGTGAGCAGGGGCCCTGACGGCTTCTCCGACATCCCCCATGTAGGGCACAAGCTCTCCCGGAGTCCCCACTCGATTCTATAAGCTCTCTTGGCTGTGCTGGGGCTCAGAACACAATGCCCCCAAGCATGGCGCTGTGGCGTGCCAAGTCCTTTGACCTACAGGAGACCGGAGGGCCTCAGGGGCAGCCGCAGAAACAAGCTCCTCTGACCTTCTCCTCTCCCCCGTCTCCTGCCCTCTCTCCCCAGGGAACTGCGTCATTCGAACCAGAATTCCTCTTCCCTAAGGCGGGTCACAGAAATGAGAACTCCTTGTCCCTCAAAGGAAGCCATGAGCCTAGAAAGGTCACTCCCCCGCTCTCCCTGGAAGGCCTCATCCAGAGGGTCCTGCCCCACAGCTGGGCGAAGGACTGCTGCACAGAGAGGCCGAGAAGAACCTGAGCAGACAGGCCCTGCCGCGGCCCCCTGTGCTCCCATTAGATCCCACCTCTGTCCAGTCTCGTTTCTACAGGACTGCACATTTTCTCCCAAACCTCAGATAAAAATAGGCAGTTTTCCCTGGGTCTTTGGGTCTTTGTTTCTGAAGGCTCCTGTGTCACAAAAAAGCTTTGAATAAATAAATGTGTTATGCTTTTCTTCTGTTAACCTGTCTTTTGTGTCAAGTGCGACCCTGACGAGGGGTGAGGGGAGGGATCTCACCTTCCCCCCTCCAGCTGGAACTGCTCACGTTCACCCCTTCTAACTGTCCCACCACGAGGCGGGTACCACTCCCTGAGGTCCCCGCCCTGGTTACACTTCCTTGGCAACCGAAGCACAGAAGCTAAGCCAGCCCTGGCTCAGATGACGCTGCAGAAGGGCCTGGGACCCTGCTCATCCCCGAATAGAGAGAGAGAGGCTGCGTCCACTCCCCTGGGAAAGCCCCACGTTTCTAAGCGGGAGCGGGCTATCTGCGAAACGCCACTGTGCCTGCATTTCCTTGCTGGCCGGCCAGTGCGTAGGGTGACATCAAACAGGAGAAGGACGGGCCAGGGCTTAGGTCCTGAGGTTGCCGGTATCACCAAAAAGCCCAAACCGGGTGGGGGAAAAGCCTACTGCTTCATCCTGGGGGTGACGTGTCACAATGGGGACAACAGGTGAGCTGCCTGCAAGTGTCTGAAACGGACAGGACAAGGCAAAACAAAAACAGGAGCCCCGCAGCTGGCCTGTGGAAGTCACACGTGCATCCCCCGCCCGCCTCCGCCAGGGCCACGCTTTCTTAGGGCTCCAGCTTCCCAGCCTCAGACCATCCCTGAACTCTTGCTACACCACCACCCACTTCCTCTGCACTTGGCTCCAGCCTCCCATCGCTTTTACATCAGGGTGTGTTCTGCTTGAAAAAGAAAAAAAAAAAAAGGCTCACTTCCCCTGCCAAGTCCTGGGTGTGAGCGAAGTGCCAAGTTAAAATTAAACTGAAAATTTGTACTTTAGGTTTAGACTCTCTCCCAATGCCACTGGCCATTTAAAAATATCCGGACGTGGTTACTCTCCAGCTGAACAACTGGAATTACTCTCCTTGTACCAGAAGCTTTTCCAACACCCCGAAGACCAACCCACGCAGGGCCCGACGCTTTGGTCCTCCAGTGCTAGCATCCAAGAGGGGAGACGTCAGTGGGGAGGTACTGAAGGCCCCCAAGAAGTCAGACTGCCGGGCCTTCTGCATTTCCTAAAAAACTTGTTCCCAGAGCAAGGATTTGTTAGGCATTTCTCACCAATGGGAGCCGAAACTTCCATGATAAACACACACACATTGTTACTATAAGGACAGTTATTTCAAAACTAAAATCTTGTCTTTACAAGTCTCTCAAATTTGACCTTTCCTCTCCATTCCCAACGTTGCAGCCCTGGTCACTGTCACCTCAAGTCACTTTAAGCCTGCTTTAGCCTCCAAACTGGGTCTCTGCGACCTTGCTGGAAGTGTTCAGGAGGTAGGCAGGACCACAGGCGCCAGGCCTTGACCCGGGGCCTGAATACTCCCAGGCTCCTGCCTCTGTAGAAGGGGGCTCATGGTATCTGTTTAACCTATGAAGTATAAACTCCAGCCCAGAAAGCATCCCCGGCTTCCCACTGCCTTGG